AAAACCCCTACTTAAACCTATGCCTTAAAGGAAACTAATATTAGGTTCTGGTCTAAGTTTAAAGTATGTTTCGTCTCATCTTGACAACGTATTAGTAGACAGAGACAAAACATAGTTTAGATTTACAACAGAAGCCTCTTTTTATTAGTATGAAATAAATAATAAGTCAATATTACAATATTACAGAAAATATATGAGTGTATTGAATTAACAGGTAATTTATAAATTTAGCTTTAATATATAGATCACCAAACTTTCGTCAGGTAAAGAGATAGTAAATTTGAATATGATAGGTTTTTAATGAATTTAGCTGTAAATAATGACGTATACGTCTATGGCTATCAGTAAAATTGTACGAAGTAACGTGTAGTAATTTTTTTGAAAAAAAGGTCATTCAAACTTTTTTCGAGTTTCTATAGAGTTACTATGCGATACTAAAGGCACACTATTAAAAACTCATCACTTACCATGGAAATAAACGGTTTAATTTTAAGCTGTGTTTTGTCTCTGGTATGTTTTCATTGCAGACGAAACAGGTCAAATTTAAACGAACGTTGTCTGTTAATGTGTTTATGGTCATTTCATGGGAGGTTTGACGGACTTCCGTTACTACTACAGGTGCAAAGAGGTAATAATAGAGTTAGGCACTTCCCATAGTTACTTCATGATGACCGTCTTTTTATCACAAAGTGTTTTCCAAAATAAGTTTTTCTTTGTAACAAAATATAAATCATTAATGTTTCTACACGCAGTCCAATATGTAGAAGCTTTGTAATTTTTTTTTGTGTACAAATCTTTTAAATGAAATCAGAACATTTTCTGATAGAGAAAATATTCTCACAGAAAAATAAAAAGACTTGGGATATCTTTTCTAATTTACAAATACAAATGAGTTTAAGAGTAGAATCATTGAAGAAATTTTGAGTACAAAAATATTGCATACACAGCGAAAATAAAGTAAGAAGTATTTTTTTTTATTTGGAAAAGGATCACCAAACACTGAAATGTAAGGGAGTGTAGACCGAATTTTATATTTTGTACTATTATATTGACTTTTCTAAAGTCCCTTTCAATAAAATGCAAATGTAATGTAAATTGCATTTTCAAATACTTTTGGCGTGTTTCATTTTCAGTGAATGATAGTCCTAATCTGCCTCAATTCCAAATCTGTTTCTCGTATTGACATAAATAACGTAGAGTAGGTATGTGATGGATAGCTTGAGAGTAACGTAGCTATATCTTAATATTATACTTTTAATAAAAGTTTGGATCACTCTTATTATATCAATTTTTCTGTAATTATAGTTACTTAGATCTTTATTTCGATAAAAGTCTTCAATTTCTAACACTAAGGCTTCGAGTTCCAAAACAAAATTAAGCAGCCTATAATATACTACAGTACAATACGATCTATATAATTCTCAATATATTATAAATCAATACTTTATGCTTACTCCAAAAATCTTTCTAGGCATGTTATGATTACATTCAACATTACGAGTAAGTATAAAAAGATGGTTCAGTAATTTAAACGTAGAAATGGTTATTGTACATTTCATCAATATCATTTTTAGGTAATACAAAAACAATTCTTAACAATTCATCTTCAAAGTTTTCTTGCTCTTATTTTCTAATGCTTAATTTAATTACTTAATAAAACTAATTACATTACAGAACTTGCTATTTACAAGTACTAGCCTCACTTACGTATGTACGTGTACTCAATTTCCGCGATCACAGACTGTGAAAATGGCAACCATGAATAGTTTCATTATTTGTGTCGACCCTAAGTATGAGTTGACAACTCCAAACAGAGCGCGTTACTCATGGTCGATTCATAACGAACATACTATAAATAGATTTAACTTACGACGTTATAACAGTAAATCTGTAACATGATAATATTTTTTATTAAACCTTCTAAGTACTAAGGACTGCAAGCTTATAAGTAAAAAGTTACATTGCTTGCCATTTACACAGTCCGCTCACAATTTCGAAACAACTTTGCCATGTAAAGCGTCTACACTTAGCATGGGGTAGTTTTAAAATGAATTATATCTGTGCGTTACTTTGGTTAATTATAAAATAAATACAGTCCTTCCGGGTAACATTAGACCACTTATGAAACAACTTATTTTGTTTTGACTAATTCGTATAGATAGTATTTATAAGTGATATTTAAATGTTATAAATAAAAAATGCTGCGATATAAACAGATATAGGTGTAGTCCAAAGTTCCCTTGTCTTGGAGGTATCATTAGACGATCATTTTAAACACCTTTAAATACATTTATTGCCTTTTTATCGTTTGGTAATAATTGTAAGATCAGATCATAATAAGCGCACTAATTAAATAATCAAATTAACTTCCACATTCATACATATTGTGATGATTCATACACACCAGGATAAGATAGCAATCGCCCAGATTTAGAGTCGAATATCTTCTTTTTTTCGAGGTATTATACCCAATATAGTGAGTATAGTTCTGCAAAAGAATAATAAAGACATGTAGGTCATTCTGCAAAGTTTACAAATGTTTGCGTGTATTCTGTAACACTAAATTTAGATAACAACTCCAGTCCAATGTAACTTTACATTACTTGATAATTTGACTTGTAGATTAATGAAGGTAGTTATAAATTGCTAATTTTGATATGCCCAAAATTACTAAAATCATAAAATAATAGCTGTATGCTAAAAAGGCCACAAGTGCCACAACTTGCCGATTTCTAGCTCAAATTTATATGGGTAAAGTAAATTATAAACACATCTCGTTTGCAGCCGAGCCTGCCACCGAGTGACGTATAAGTAATAGCTGTTTGTTCTTACATTTTTTTTTAAATTTTAATTTTATATACCTTGGTTGTTTGCTGTACCTCGGTGTATTTGCAATATTTTATTTAAGATATAATATGTTTTATTATGTTACTTATAAAAGAAAGCGTTTGAAACGAGTATATGTTGTGGTCAAATGTTACTAAAATGACTGTATAAAAATTGGCAGTTATATTCATATAAATAACAACTTCATTAAGTAATATAGGTATGTTAATAGCAAATCTACTAATAAATAATTTACATGGCATCTTTGGTATTATAAAATTGAAATTAGTCATGAGTATTATGAAGGCAATCTTGAGAATGCCTTTTATAATTATGATGTATAAAAATTAGGGTTGGTTACTACCAAATTACTCTAACAAGTGCCAGAACCCTTTCGAATTACATACTTATTATCTTAAATATACAACAAATTTAATTGTCAAAATTAGTCAATAATTGCGATAGGTCCATTATGGAGACTTGATTAGAGTTCTGAGGTAATATCTATGTGTTCTTACGCCTTGTCTACTGTAATCGCTACTCTAATGGCTCTCTAATGTCACACTATCATCAGTCCAACGTAAAAACTGAATCACTGTAATGTACAAATTACAAACCTGCCACACACACTTAGGCACTAAGTCATTACAAATAGAATTGACATTTCTTAACACACATTCAATTGTCAACAATGAGCGAAGATGATATTGAACACTATATATTCTCAGGTTCAAAACAACTGCTAGCTAGTTTACAAATCAATTAATAAAGCGATTATTCATGAAACTCTAGGTCTCTTTATCTATTAGAAAAATAGCAACAGGAACGCTTTAGAAAAGGAGTTTTATCAACGTTTTGGCCCACATTTCTGGAAAATTTAATTTATAGAAACGACAGTAGACAAAATGAGACGTCGTGTCACAGAATGTATGTACATAATGATCACAGTTACTAGCTGTAACTATACAAATGGCGCACCAACAATCTGAATTGGCATGTGGCATCACAGTGCCTTCTTAACTTTTATATGTATCTATGTATACATAGTCACTAAATATATAACATTATCCAATAATTATCAAAACGATCTCCTAGTAATCTAAATACACCCATAAGAAGCACTTTTAATGAATGAGTAAGTTATCAGAACTTTACATATCATTTTATACATGGTAAATATAACTTTTATCATATTTTGTTTTTTCATAATGTTATTGTTTCAACTATAATGTTATAATAATCGTTTAGACTAATATAACTGGGCAAAACTTGACCTTACCACACATCATATACTTTGTATTGTACAAATTTGAAAGATTGTCATTGACAAGTGAACCTTAGTTTGTGGTGATATCAACAGTGTTGTCAAGTTACAGTTACACTAGAACTTTAGAATAAGGGAACCCTTGCTATATTTAATGACGTAATGCTAAAAATAGTAGGTATGTAAAAAGCGTATAGTGAGGCCATTGCAGGTTTTTCAGTTTGTACCTAACCAATACCGATTTAACGGAGTGAGTTTAAAAAATCTGCAATGACCACCATATTATTAAATTAACTATTCGTTAACGTGTTACCAACAAAAACTTATATTTTCACCTAAATTATTTGTAAACTATGTATATTCTAAACAATCTACAATTTGTTACATTAATCATCTTACATACATCAATCGACAATATTGTTCCGTCTTTTAAAAAAAATACATTATTTTTGTCACACATATTCTGACGATATCGATCGATTTAGATTGTGGATAATCACCAGTACGTATATATTTATTTTCTTGAAAGAACGTTACGATCACATTTTCTCGTGTTTTACAATCCATAAATAGATATATCTATTTTATCAAGTAACAAACAGATCAGTATCGATCTTCCGTGAGTGCATTTCAAACAACGAGTTATCATCTCCAATCACAATTTTAGACAAAATCGTTACACTGTTGTATCCACAACAAGTTTAGTCTTTACTTCTTCGTCATCAATAACAAAATGCCAATCGAACGAATGACAGTCAACACTTGTTTGAATACAATTCCAATAATGTTAGTTTGGAATGTCTAAATCACTTCACTCGTCCGATTGAAACAATAGTCCAAGAGTCGTCTGCGAGCACAGTGTTCGGGCGCTCGAGTAAGTGTGAAGGGGGCGGGGCGGGGCGCGGTGCGGCTAGTTGCGGTAGATGTACGCGCAGGGCTGCGGGGCGGGCGGCGGCGGCGTGGGGGGTCGCTCGCCCGACGGAGAGGGCGACGACGACGGCGGCGACGGCGACGACGACGAGCCGACTGCGCTGCCTGATCCCGAGCCTGACCCGCTGCTGCGCTGAGACACTGCAATAACATAAGTTGAGTTTGAAAAAGGCCTACTGTTATTACAACCGAAAACGTATTTTTTCAGGTTTCACTTCTCACTCGACCATTTATTAGTAGCCTTGTCTCCAAATACTAAATAAATAAGTATCCGTGTGGTGACGGATTAAGAATACAGAGTGTCACCACCCTTATTCGTCCCGTGGGTGTCGTAAGAGCCGACTAAGAGAGCAAACTACGCATAAAAACAGCACTGCAAAGAGAAGGAAACCTTGACACAAACCCTATACCAACCTGTCAGGCCAGCGTGGTATAGTAGACCTGAACCTTCTTCCTGAGGCGAGGCCCATGTTCAGCAGTGGACTATTAAAGGTTTTTGATGTGTGAATTAAACTTACCCAATGTATGATGATGGTTTGTATTATGTTTATGGTGATGCATTTGGTCGCGCGAGTCCGCCCCGCTTGTTTCTCAGAGGTACACTTTCTTTACTGAACGCGTGGTCGAGAAGCCATTGTCGTTGCCGCGCCGGTACCCATCGCCCTGCGGTCCGAATATTCCTGTGTTAACTGACATGCCGAAGTGAATATGCGTGCGTGAGTTAATGGATCAAGTGAGTGGTCAGCAGCGGGTTTAAATGGTTGTAAGATCACAAGACATCTTTTATATTTTAAAATTACGTTAAAAAGAACGTTCTAATTTTAAGTAAAATAATTTAGAATGCTGTAATTTGAGTACGGCGTCATCATACATTAAATCCCACAACCATTTTCAACGATTATGGAAATGAAATAATTAGATAAGATGAACATATAATATTAACGATTTAATGATATCATCAGTCGATTCATTTCATGTCATGTCGAGAGGAGATAAGATGAATCGAAAATGAAATTCATGCAAAATGGATAGGCAGAGTAAGCTGAAAGATGTTAATATGAAAAAATGATATTTTTAAGTGAAACTTACTCTCCGATAATTTCGATATGTTCTACTAATAGGCAGGATTACATCGTTTTAGAAAAAAAGGTTAATGTGCAAAATCATTATGGTTATTTCAAAACATGCATCGCCAATCATCGTTTATGGTAGAAATCTTAAACAAATGACCTGTATAATACAGACCTCGTGTGTTTCATTTTGATAAAGTAATACGAGTTTAATTATTTGTTTCTCTAAAATCTGATTTTCACAAGCTTCTGGAAAATCTATATACATATAATATTTGTCGGCGATTTTTTAGGAACCTGTAAAATAATATAAGCCATGCAAAAGAGTAAAAAGAATATAACTGACATTGACCTGATGCGAGCGAAGAGTTCCAAAGTTGTCGCGACGGTATGCGTCCGGTTGGAATTGGAAAAGTGTCTCATGGTGAGGATGGTACGGAGGATGTTTGCGAAGAGTGGCACGAGGAGATGCTGGTTTTGGTTGAGGGGCTAGGACGGGTTCTGCATATGTTACTTCTTCTACTTGTTGGAGGAGTTTGGGTTCTGCCTGAATCCTGAATCCAAAAATATGAAATCGTGTTAGCTTCTTTCAAAAATAATAATTTTCACGCTATTATATATTTAAATGAATTAAAAGAAGTATTTCTTATTAAAAATAATATTAAGTACGAACTCCATACCTATTAATATTTTGCCTTTGCTCAAAATATTCGTACTCAGTGTCAGGATATGGCATGTTATCATCGTCATCCTTCTTGCATCTCCTTCCACAAATGTATCCAGCAGCAAAACCAGCTCCAAGAGCAGCCAGAGCTCCAGCAGCTACAGCTAACGCAAGGGTTTCCACAGAGTACGCGGCTGGAGGTGGATCCGCTGCAAGAACTTCAGGACCTAAATAATAACAAGCATAAGAAATTGTACTTAAAGTACAACTATATAGTTAATACTCTATGAAAGGTACTTTATAAAAAAAACTTTTTTTATATTATTGTGTGAAATGTAGCAAATAAAGAAGCACTTTTTATGAACACTCAGCAGCTAAATACTTAAACACTTTAGAGTTGAACTTCTTACCTTCGTTAGCGCCGGTCCCGCCCTTGCCATCCTTATCTTGAACGATGTTGATTACTTCCCCTTTATTTTCACCTCTTGCATCATCATATAAGCCTGAGCTGAGGCCACCAACTGCTCCAGCATCTTTACCTAGAAACATTAAATCATCTTAACTTTTTAAATACTCTTTACACATTTTAATATTTGGTTCCCTTATAAATGTATATTTCACCTTCACAAAACCTGGGGATTTTTACAGCGTAATTAATCAACTTTATTTTAATTTAATTCTCTCATTTTGTACTTACTATGTGGACAAGCCGCATGACTGCCAGTGCTGACACTCTGGTAAAAGGAGTTTTCATCCAACCATCGACTTACACCGTGGGAATAAGCACGACACCTACCCGCTTGCTTATCCCATGCGCAATATGGATCCTGAAGTGCTACGCATTCACTGAAAGTAAATATATGATATGTGGTAAGTAAATATTACAATGCAATGCTGTACCATCAAATAATTGTTGTTATGACAGTAGACAGGTACCTGCAAGAACTTATTTTGTCACTAGAACATCTATGTAGTCTCAGGCTTAGTACTTGTCTGTCAGAAACAGCAATAAGTCTGGCCGCGTCACGTCCAGCTCTAGCTACTCTGAGGGCTCGGACCGGCGAACCTGCTGCGAATGCCTGCAGCTCTTCAATTACAACTGGCACTGCTCGTTTATTCGAATCATATGAGACAGCGTTGATTGCTTTTATAATTTTACCATTATCTGTAAAAGAGGGTAAATTTATTGATAAATATATCAGCGTCATCATTAGTATATTTTAGAAATAACATGTCTAGTAGCATAATAAAGGGAATGCTTACCAGTGCCTATGAACAGAACATCGTATGCCTTTCCTCCAGGAGTTTTTACTTGCGGATCTACGGCTATCTGCGTAAATCGATAGCTGGAAATAGGATTGAATGCAAGTAAGTATTGATTACTTATATCGAATTAACCAAACAAATAATATGATATTACTTACTGAAAACTAGTTCTGATAACGATGGGTTCTCCGAAGAAAGCCGGCACTGATTCGTCCATCAATGCGTGAGTCTTGATAAAGTTTAGCGTTTGATCAGGTAGTTGCCTGGAGTCGTTATGACATGTTCCAGGTCGAGGCTCAGGTACCTAGCAAATAATACAATAATACAATTTTTGATTGTAAAAAAAATTACTTCTTATTAAATAAATACTCATAAAACTAACTAATTTTGAGAGAAGCACAGCGGCTTCTAATCCTATCCGTGGATTCATAAATACTTTTGTAAACGCAAATTTACTTTTAGCCGTCAACAACATTATTTTTTAAGTTGACTTCCTTATCACAATAGGTAGATAAATCGAAAGTATACCACGTAATTAGACCACATACAATACTATCTAAAAAATATACTGGTGTTTTTGCTGATCTATCTGAAATAGTACTTTTACACACAAAACTCCTTATTGAGGATTAGTATGAGCTAAAGTTAAGATGCCCGTGTGGTGATAAGAATACGGAGTGTCAAAACCCCTATTCATCTTATGGAAGTCGTAGGAGCCAACTAAGGTAGCAAATAACGCAGGCTGGCCAGCGTGGTTTAATAGGCCAAAAATTTCCTTTCTAAGGAATGACCATGTCCAGCAGTGGACTGTTAAAGGATGTGTGATGTGAAATTAAGATACAAAAAGCAACATTTTACGCAAGAAACAATAATTATATTTAAATGTCTAATTATTCTTAAAGTTACTTACTTTAGCACTATTTACAGGTAACCAATTCGAATTGATTGCACTCTGTTCTTTGAAGGTGCCTTCAAACGTATCAGCAATATCTTGCATACTGAAAGCGCAGACAGCACTTCCTGATATACTGTTAGGTGGTGTAGTGAAGGTGCCGTACATCAGTTGGGCATTTAGACCACCATACACACCCTCTATCAGCTCTGTTGTTGATTCTGTAAGTAGGTACGTTTATTGTAAGCTTTCGAGATCTTCTAGAACTGTGATGTATAAATTAAGGATCACATTTTCTCATACTTACAAGTAAGGTAGACAAAATACAAAAACTGAGACGTTATAATTTTAAAACTCATTTAGTTTGAGCGAAACAAGCTCTTTCGTACTGCTGTTGTTATCGTATCAAAAAATATGCTTATTTAAGATATTTTATCGAATCCCAGGAAAATTGTATTAAATTGTCATCAACATCGTTGTAACGGGTTATCTAACCAATATAGGCTTCGTTATTCATTTAAGCTAACTAACTATATATCGCTGCGGATGGTTATGCTGTAAAGTGCGAAATTAGTTCTTGCATAATTTTTCAAATCAAGAGTAAAAGTATTTCACATCCACGTCTAAGGTAACTCCCACTCACTGTTACACCATACTGGTGAAAAGTATAACGAAAGTATGAACCTTATAAGAACTTCATAGAGAGATCCATACTAAAATACAACTTACGTATTTCATTGAAGTAGAACGGGAAGTCGCCAGCGACGGAACAGTTAAGCCGTGACTTGAGGAACGATGTCCACCGCTGCTTGAAGCGGTGCGGTCCCCCGCGGTCATCACGACATACGCGAGCGACACGGGAATATACCGCCTAGGTACAGAAAAACAGAACTTAGTATAATATTATCAAATCAATAATACAATATCAAAGTTGTGTATTAAACTGAGAAGATCACTGTATGAGCTATCTATATAAGAAAAATAAAAATAAGGTGCTTTGTAGATAAAAGAAACAAAAAGAATAAACATGATGAAGCTTCTGGTGGAAATTCTTGGAGTGTATGTAGTTTGGCTAATATTTATTAGTCTGTTTAAAAATATGTTTATATGCCTGTAAATGTTCATTTGCCTTGATCTAGTTTTTTATGTATAGTAAGTATTAACATGAAACACTTAATGCAAGCTCTATTTAGTATGGGCCTTAGTAACTAAGTGTAAAATGACAAAAAACCTTAATACAGAAAGAAGGTCCTATTTTACCTCGGTATGATAGAAGTAAACAGATTTTTCAGTGTAACTAGGCAACTGCCAAGGCATTGCTTAGAATACTCCCATTATATAAAATAAATTTCCAATGGTGCCTAGAGAGATATTGTAAATTGTCGCCGGTTACATTAGATACATCACAGTACGGCCGAGTATTCCAGATATTGTTTTTTTTTTTAATTTAAAAAACATGACACGTTATTTAATATATTATTAAATAGTAAATTTTAAGCCTTACCTTTCCACAGTTAATGTATTCAACAGCTGTTTCTCGAAAGAAGAAATACACGAAGTTTCCATGTACTAAAGAATTCACGAAGTCAGGAGCTGTGGACGAAGATACGATACGAATAGATCAAATATAATTTTGTACAATTAATATAAAGTTAAAATTAACAGAATACTATTAATTTCATTTCAATAGTCGATTATGCAAAGTGATGTAACGTTATTGACGTTAAGTCGATAATTAATAATGCGATCGTAATCGGATTTGGCGATTGTTGACACGCCTAACGTCACGAAAATGACAAGGAGTTTCTCACCGAAACACGTTCTAAATTTAATTATAATGGCGGTTATATATTTGACACGTTCGAGGCTAATCGAATGGATACAATATGTGTATAAATTGTTGTGTGTACACACGATTATTAACAATGTACTTACAATTACAATGGTGACATCGGAAATGTTTGTCATAAAAATAATCTGTTTGTCGTTTTTGGCTTATATCGTATTTTTGCATTTGATATAATTCAAGTTGTTTTAATATGCTTTTAATAAAACTTAACATGTTATTAGAAAGTGGACTTGGCGCATTGTTTCTTTGAAGGGTATAATCGTCTGCATTTAGCATTCCGATGAAGGCTCGGTGACTTTTCTATAAGTTAGAAGTTCCAAATTCTTGAGTACATTGTTAAATATAAGCTTTCTATATATATATAAGGGTTGTTCGGTACTAAGAGTTTTGAGCTTTAAGTTGGTATTTAGCTGAGCATTCCCTAAGATGGCTGCAGTACTCCACGAACTTGGGTTGGGTAGAGATTCGAACGATTTTCTGATAATTCTCAATTTTATTGAGATTTGAGCATATAACAAAGATATTAGAGAAGTGTACTTTAAGGGCTAGGAGGCGCTGCAGCTGAGGAAACTTATTCAGATTTTTTGAGTTTTATTAGGTGAAAAGAAGTTGGATAGTTGGAAGAAGCGCTGCATGTGTCTAGGATAAACAGCATGTAACCACGGCCAAACCCAACCCGAGTCACCATCGGATCCCCTCCTTGTCCTAACCAGCAGATACGATGTAACAATCCCGGTATTATGCTCCCGGGAAACCTGCTTCACTTACTAGGATAAATCATTGTAAGGGTATGGTGGAGATCACATCTGACTCTGTAGAGTTTTAATATGTAGCCACTTTTGAATTTAATACGATATAAGGTTCAAAATATAATTACCGTTTAAAGTCATGGAATCGTAAGGCTCTGTCTGCAATGGTTCTCTATATATAATTGGCTCCATCCCACTGAAGTCTGCTACTGTTCCCGAATACAACTCGCCATCTGGAAGTAATAAAAATAATTCATGTAAAAATTTATTTAATAGTGTTATAAATTATATTGATTGTAAAAACAAATAAGAACCTTATGTACTAATGAAATAAATATGGGTAAGGAAGTGCATTACATTCCAAAACTTTTTTGTAAAGATTTACAGTTATAATAGCCAATAAAATTATCCGTGTGGTGACGGATTAAGAATACGGAATGTCACCACCCCTATTCATCCCGCGGTTGTCGTAGGAGCCGACTAAGGGACCAAACTACAAGACAACAGCACTGCAAAGATAAGGAAAACTTGAAACAAACCCTATACCAACCCGTCTGGCCAGCGTGGTATAGTAGGCCAAAACCTCCTTTCTAAGGAGAGGCTTATGTCCTGCAGTGGACTATTTTAGGCTGTTGATGATGATGATGATGATGATGAGCCAATAAAAGCGGTTTTAGTTTTATACATGTGTATTCTTAAACTGTGCAATCTGAACCAATCGAGAAAAAGTATAGGTACACAAAAAAATCTAGGTATCTCCATCAAGTGACACGTCTGCTCGTCTGTCATGTCATGTGAAATTTACAAGTCCGCAAGAGGCCAATGACGTCACACAATTTAAATAGATAAAATTGGTAGGTCTAGATAGATAAAACGATAAACTGAGATCAGTAGTACTTGATTTAAAAAAATAAAAGTAGCCTCCAAAAGTTTACAGATGAGAAGTAAACTAGATAATAATACATAGTTTGAAAAGGATCATGTCGCACTTGTCTGCTAGTAACTGAGCAGAATGAGTGGCTTTTCTTTCAGAGATGACGTTATGTATTGAGCCATATCTATCTATCTCTATATGTATATACTATAAAAGAAGGTCCCCTGCCGCGTCTGTCTGTCTGTGTGTTCAAAAACTACTAAATAGATATCAATACGTTTCGCCAATAGACAGTCATTCATTAGGAGGGTTCAGGTATTTGATTTGTTGAGATTTTGTATAAGTTGGTTATGATATGATGATTATTGTTGAAAATATTTGAAAATTTCAAGCCACATTACAGCTTTTAGCTGAACAGACGGAGAAATTGAAAAGAATTGTATCTTGTAAACGAGTAAAAACAAGAGTTTTTACTCGTTTACAAGATACAATTCTTTATAATGATTAATTCTCTATAATAATATTTTCAAATATTTAGAAGACTAAAGCTTGCCAAAACATTCATAAAGATTAATATGTTTTATTATAACACACTAACTTAATAATGTTAACAGTACCACTACAAACATTGACTAGAGCTTACTATATCGAGAACAATGAGTATTTAACACAATAGTATTCCGACTCAATTTCCAATCAGACACGATTGAGAGTTCTGCATCTACCTATATCTTACGTACCATTGAGTTACATCAGCAAAATTACGACACGGCTCCAATACATATCTATCCCGAACTAAGACCCAAGCGATAGCCAGTACAGGGCTGTACTCCCCTGGGCGTCGGTGCACTTAATTGGTCCAGATCAATAGGAGATAACTAACCGTGTCTGCAGCACGTAATGCATCTATGGAATACGGACAGTTGCATTTGTATGTGTGCACAAAAAATTTACGTTGAGTGCATTCATGTGTGCATGTATGTTTTCACTTACATGTGTGAGTAAAAGAATAAAATTGCGCTTATATGGAAATTGTACAGCTGTATGCAGCATTGGGTTATTGGAGTAGATCCAAAAATGTAAGTATAGGTGTAAAGCGAGGCCTCGAAGTGAATGAGTGAATAGCTGAATATAAACGAGTACAATTTAAAAAAGTTACTGCCGTAAATGTATAAAAGTTAGTCTCGGTTTTATGTGAAATATAAAAAACTCGAAACTGCTTTTGTTAAATTCATTTAATGTATACCATTTTTTTTCACATTCACTGGCCAACGACAAACCCCGAAAACAAGACTTTTAATTACTGATTACTTTTAAAATGAACGTTGTTTTTTTTTATTCAAAGTTCTAATCGATCAGGGCAATTTAAAAACAGTGTACCTATACAAGTACTCGTATTGTAGTTTGTTACAATAATATTGTCGATCCTAAAATTATTATTTTTGGTGTTGTTTGTGTATATATATATATTTTGCGGTAAAATACTAGTAAACTACATAGGTAGTTACACAGCTTTCTGTTGCGTGATATAAATAGGTGTGAATTTGCAAAGGGGTGCTTAAATGCAAAGAAAATTGTACAAAGGGACAGTATGACGGTAATTGATGGTGTTCACTCGTAGGAAACTGTTTGTGCGAGGGGGACTTTGTGTAGGAGATGACGGTCTTGTTCAGTATTGATTACTAATTTACAATTTGTAGCGGTTTTTAAACCAAAGTATCTAGTCAAAGTACGTAGTAGATAGTCTACGGAAGAAATACTACTTGGGTTCCTCTTAGACTCTTGCATTGGCTCAGTCTCAGTTGCAATTAATCTGGTAGTCTTATCAATTATTTTACTTTTAGTACAATGTAATAGCCAAAGTATCGACACTACACGTGTTTTTTAAGCAAGATGGTTCCAATCCAGTCGTACCTTCTAGAAAATTTCAACATAAATCACTTCCTTGAAACTATTATGAAACAACTAGAAGTCGTTTTGACGTTTACAGTAATACTTTTAAATTCGCTGTAAATAAGTAAATGCCGTAAATAAGTAAAGTTAGCCCCCATTAAAAACAGTATATCAAATATGTATGACGAGATTTTACGTAGCTCCAGTCAGCAAGTACATTGTAGCTCCCAAATTAATTTTGCAATACCTTCTTTAGTTACGAAGCCGGAAGGTGGAGATATTTTTTCACAAAGGTTTTTACAGTAAAGTCGAGTGTTTGTTTGGGATAATCTCTTGTCCTTTTCAACTTGTTTTGTCTAAAATACAATGGTAGTATGGAAATTAAAAATATTTATGTGAAGATAAAATAGAACGTTTGGATCAATTAATGTAGCCTGACTGAATAGGTCTTACTTTACTTTACTTGAAGGTTAAGCCCAGCATCTTTATAGTTGTCAAGGTACAAAAGAAAAGTATTTATGATGTAGTCAGTTCTTTATATCATTTTATTCAAGATTGTGCAGTAACGGGTGTTTTGTGCCTCCAACACAAAGGGAGGATCCCTGACGAGGTGAGGATGCCGGTCGGGCCGCGGTGTGATGTTGGCAAATTGTACATAATAGTAATGAAAAATGAGAACTTTCGAAAAAAAATTGTAACATTAATTATCTTATTGATCTATATAGATTTAATTTTTCTATTCTGTGATCGAAGATCTCAATATAGTAGACATATAGTATTGCCCATGGGCCTAGTCACAGAAATAAATAGAAACGGTTATATTTGAATACAGTAGTATATGTATATATTATGTTGAATACGTACATTAAGTTTTAAAGTATTGTATTTTCGATTTTTGAAACAAACAAACAAATTTATCTTTACATAGTATAAAATAGAGTCGCTTTTTGTTGTACGCTTAGATCTTTTACACTTTTAATGCAGTTTTCACCAATAGAGAGAGTGATTCAAGAGGAATGAAATCCGAGAATTACAAAGATTTGTCTCAAAAACATGGTTATAAACAAAGAGATAGACCAAAATACTGTACTACGAAATTGTTTTTCTTAAAAAGATCTACAAAACAGTCCGCGACATATTCCGTCTGTCTCCTAAGGATAAACCACAGTAACCATTTTTATTCTTTAAATATTACAAAAAAAGGGTTTTTAAGAAGCAATTTTAAACAACACATTATTATTTGATTTTATTAAGTTAGATACCATTAAAATTCATATTTTAGAACAAATTAGAGGTTAAAAATGCGGGGGCAAAGCGGCCGTCGCCGCTACGGGCCGTCCGTGCGTCACGGGTGGCAGTGGCCGGCAGGATCGGAACGGGCCTATAAATTTTGCACAATAATAGTACAATTAATTAGTCCACACTTGCCAGTGTCGTAGAAGCGGCGACGGCCACATTAGTTTTATTTTAGTATCTATATTGCATACGTGCAAAGACAGGGCGGAACGCTATTTTTTAATCGCTCGAATTTAGCTATTTTTCAATACTACCAATAAGTTATATAGTTCAACATAAGCCAAAATGGCCACCCACCCTTACATTGCGGTTAACAAACAGACCCGTAATCTATACACAAGTTCCGTGTTATTATGTACTCAAATATACTACCGATGTATTGTTTTCAGTTCGCGAGATTATTTTGGGATGTGACGTGGTGTGTGATTGTTCTAAAATATCCTATTGTCAGGTCTATGGGCGGTTTTAATATTCGGTCCTATTGAACGCATAAAGTAGGATAATTAACTTATACGAACAAAGTTTTGAGTTTTCACAGCTGTAGGGAGGCTCAAAACAATAATTTCCGCTGGTTGCCTTTAAGAAACTATTAAGTACCTATATTTTTTGAGGCTTTATGAAACTTTGTAGTCTTTAATAAACTTGCGCAATTATTATACATTTGAAAATACTGTAATAGTATTCGTAAATAGTGACCCTTCAATGTAGTCTAATCGCGGATAGCCACTTTATAATCACATAAAAAAAACTCAGACAGCAACTTATAGGACCTGAAACATTGCTACACATATCGTTTAACCGATTCATGTATTTATGGACAAAACATCAACAGTGATATCTATATGAAACGCATTTAGAGTGTGGTTATTGTTAGTTTCTGTATTCGAAACTTACAGACAGTACGTAAATAATATGTAGAATCGTCACGTCATAATCTACTCGTACTTTCATTGAACGGTCTCTTTTCAATGCTACAATGAGTGTCTATTATACGCCGGCAGACTGTGAAAGTGGGTTCGATCGTTATGAAAAAGATTTTCCCTTTTTCCTAATTTCCTGACAATAGAACAGCCATGGACTCCCTGAGCATATGTGACCCGGTTACCGAAAGGGTTCCGGCGCAAAATGTTAAAAGTATTCTTGCTGATAACAAGCTTTTGTGTTGTTGCCGAGATACTTATTGAGACGATTTTTTGGAGTTCGTATACAACGTTTTATGTATGTAGTTGAGGGTGGGGCAAGCGAAATAGTCTGTGGAATCGATATGTGTATCGTCTCGGTTACGCCCATCAAATCATAGCCCGATATCAGGTGTTTGAGTGCTGGTTTAAATTAGCTATAAATAATTCTGAATATAAATGTTATGTATAGCACGAGTATTCTACTTTAGAGCAAATAAAATCTTGTATAGAATTGAAACAGTTTTTAAAAGCAACCTTATTTTTGTCTACACTATAAATCGTATCATGTAGACAATCTGCTTGAGTTATCTATAAAAACAAAAATTTCGCCTGAAAATTTTGCTTTCTCTTTAATATTTGTTTCATTTTGTTTGTGCAAATAACAAGGGTAAAAAAGACATAACTGCTAGTTTTTATTGATACTGTCAGTTAGTCAGATAAATACAACTGTATTATATAATTGCAGGAAACACAAGGTTTAATTGAGGTTGTAGTGCAACACGGTGCGTCGTCGGATCCCATTAGTGTCCGAGTTAATACCCGCAGCAGACTAGACTGCGCTTTATATCGTATCGCTTGTAGGATAAGAGTAATGTGAGCGCACCGCAGATGAAATTGGATTACAAACTTGTATTATTAATTAACTTGGCCGAGTAGTTTTAATCAAACATCGATTTTCTTTGTTTTTTGTTAAATAGGGTACCGAGGAAGGTACTTTTCAGGAGATAGGAGAAAGAGGGCCCATCGCCTGTAACATAACCACTAAACATTACCTTTCCGCTTTCATTAGGGATTCATAAAAGTATAGCTTTGATAATATCTTGTCGAGACTATACTTCTATGAAACCCCGATGAACTTCAAATAAAAAAAAGCCTGTTGTAACACGTTCCTTTCCTTCTGTGTACTCACTGATTAGAGTTAGAAATGTTTGATGCATTGGCTATTCGACTCTTGTAAATACGCTGTAAGTTCTATAACTATTTTAAGTAGGATTGCCATTTCCGAAGCCTAGTAGATTTTGTACTGTGCAAATAAAAAAAAACAGTCATAGTTATAGTTTATCAAATAAAACAATTTTAACCCCGGTTGCTGTATATTGTGTCAATTTTTACACGATTTAAATTTTGTATGTCGTGTCGTGCCCACTTGCCCATGCAGATTAAGCGCAACTCGTTTTAAAAATATGAAAGTCTTACCTGCATATACAGCAGTGGAGTTGTGTTCCGGGTCGTATGGACAGACTGCCTGTCCAGACTTTTCTCTCTCCATGTGGTAGGAGTCACGCTGAACGCTGTACTCCCTGCAGAACGGTCTGAAGCTGTTTGTCCCACAAACCAGTAGCCTTCCAGGTCCGAGGGACACGAGGACCCGAATGTAGTTCTGGCAGCTCTCCTGTAAAAGAAGAAGATATATTCAGTGTTTTTATGAACTTGTAACGAAATCAAGAGTAATTTTTTATTCTAAAATTAGTTTTTGACGTTTTTAACAGTCGTTTATCCGTACCGACTAGTATAGAATATACGATAGGCATTATATTTCTTACTGTATTATTCTAAATTGTGTGATTCTTCATAAAATTTGTTATTCCAAAAAAGTATGATCATACACTAACACTAACAAGACATAATCATAAATCGTAATAAAGTAGTTAAAGAAGAGAGATAACGCTTTTATTCGAAACACGGGAATCAAGACAATATGGTCTGAGTTCATGAAATTACGATGATGACCTGCCAGTGGACTTTCACTGCCACACTTTATTCATACAGGTTGTTCTGAAAAGAACGGTATCAGTGGTCCTTATTTACATTATGGAAGCAATAAATTATTGAGTTTATTATTATACACGATGAGTTTATTATTTCCTTTCTCTACTTTTTCAGTAAATACCGCAGAAAAAGTTACAAGGGTCCAGTATGAATGTTGATCTCTCATGGTTCAATAACAATTTAAGTTATACATTCTTTCGGTATGCAATCTGATTGATATCATTCAGACTTGTATTGAAAACACAAGTCCCCAGACGCCATTAGTTTAAAACTAATTCATTAAAATATAATGCGCCATAAAAATATATAAATATGCGAATTTACTTCATGTGTATGAACCCAAAACCAAAACTTCGATAACGCAATCTTCTTGTAATATGTTTATACGTCATTACTTGTATTGTAACTATAAGTATAACAATAATGTCTAAACTAACCCATATACATCGAAGTTATCTAAGTGTAACCACAACCGATTACTAAACAATAGTTACAGTGTCAGCTTATTGTGGCTTAAGTTATTGACTTATATCTAATACTGTTATTATTGCGAATTCAATCACAATATCATGTCGAACAGTAGCTATGACGTCATAGAGCTTGTCAGGTAAAGTATTGACAGTTTGACGGTTGCCCGACGGAATTGAATATCCTAGCGAATACTAGTAGATACCACTGTACGTATTGTTCGTCTATATTCTCGCGTTAAAATTGGGTTGGGAAGATACGAGATACATTTAATAAAACACACCAATTAATAACTAACGCTAAGTTATTAATTGGTGTGTTTTATTAAATGTCAAAAAGCTATAAGTCAGTTCTATGGTGGCTATGACCATAAGAGCCACATTATTTTGTAGTAAGAACTTATTGTATTAAATAAGTAAATACGTTCGTTAAAGTAGGGGTTATCATCAACAGCCTTTAATAGTCCACTGCTGGACATAAGCCTCTCCTTAGAAAGGAGGTTTTGGCCTACTGTACCACGCTGGCCAGACGGGTTGGTAAAGTAGGGGTTATGATTTAGGATAAATGAACGTCGAGACCACATGACGTCAACTGCAGTGCAAGAATCTGTCTTTAGATTCTTGAATATCTGTTCGCGACCTTCTTTGTAGTAGGTATGTTTTAGTAGCTTCACTTAGTAACTAATTTTGTAAGAAAAGTCTAAAAAAAATGACATTGACCTACTGATAATTGTCGTATCAATCAATTTAGTATTGTATTTGGGATAAAAATTAAAACTCTTTAAATATGAACAAAGTAAAAATAAAGATTTCAGAAAAATTTCATGTTAATACTTATCTTTCGAATGAGTTGGGAGGAATAAAACCTTTGAAGTATAGATATAAATAGTCCTTTTAATAATATTTGGCAATTTTAACAAAGTACCGCAGATGTTATAATAAACTCTGAGAAAATTACAAACGCCATACCGAGACAGCGGTACCCCAGATTCATGTCCTTTAATACTCGTACATAGTACATGTTATACAGCTATTAGGGCTCTCGGAACTTTCTCGAAGGCTATAGTGAACAGTTGTTCGCACTCAGCGACCGTCAGCTGTGCCATTACGCAGCCCGATCCGACGTAACGCATCCCGCAATACCTTGTAGGGTTACCACTAGCGATTTTCATATAAATGTGGATTTATACATAATCTTATTACAGAGTATGTATGGAATGCTGGGCCACACCGTATCGTGGGCGTATTTTAAAACGTTTAGATGCCCACTAAGTTTAGAATAAATAAAATAATGTCCATGTGTGTTTTTTTTAAATTATATGACAAACAATTATATTCTGTCAAATATGTGCTTACAAATCAATAATAGGTTATTTGTGGTTAAAAGAGACAGAACAGCTTTTTGTCCTGTTGGTGTTCATGGTGGTCCATAACATGTGTTGTTTATGAAACGTTATTAATAATTAATTGATCACCGTTTTGAAAGCTATACTAGAATGCATTCATTATGTAGAAGGATCCAAGTGGTGACCCTAAATCCCTATTGTGGCTGCTACGCTTCCCAACGTCCAAGCATTGTAACTGTTCGTATTTCGGACGAGTACTTGACTGGTTACTTTCTAATTCAGGGCACTCTGCGAATGCGAATTCTACATGCAAATCCATTGTGCGAAATCCTTATTCTGACGCAAATTGAAGTTTGAATGTCGAAACTAAACCCTGTTCAGGATTAATGGTAATTGTAATTACAGATGTGTCGAGGCGTGTGTTTTTCACATGCACCTCTATTGGGACTGTGAGGAGCATTATAAATAGTATAGCATTTAGCAGATATTAACTAAGAAAGTCAAAAGGTCACAAAACTTTTACATATTACTTAATTGTCAGTAAATTCTTAAATTATCTAAGTCATTAATCTTTATTTATAGTCCATTTTACGCCATTTAAATAATTAAGATTTATCCATTATGATGCATTACAATAAAATAAAAAATATTTATTTACAGTAAAACAGTTACAAAATATGTGTTAATATCCGGAGGCCCGACACTAGTCAAGTCTAGTCAAAAAATGAAAAACAAGTGTACAAATAGATCTTTGGTGTGTAACGCAGGTTCTCCCGACACCCTCGCGAGATCACATCTTCACGTCTTTGTTCACTCTTTATGGCGATAGTACAATATTAAATGTGAATATAATATTTAAAGTCATAATGTTTGAATTTATAAGCTCACATTTGCTTCCTTAGGGTTACCTACCTACCATCAAAATAAGCAATAACAATTCCTTCGTTTTAAACTCGTCTATCTTTAAAATAAGAAAATGTAAATTGTAAGACAATAATAATAAACTATCTGTAAAAGTAATAACATTCATATATAGGAAATGTGTACCCCGCTAGTACAGTACGAATAACTATCATAGGACTCTCAGGTTAACATTGTTTCTCACAGTATTTTTTACATAAGTAATTGAAACAAAAGAAAATTTCATTCTAAACTAGCAATTACATTGATGTACAATTTCATATTATCGTCATCTTAATTTGAAATTTCGAGAATAAAACAATAGGTAACTTCTTTAGCAGTCATATTTAAAAATTGGCATAATTGATAATCACGTATACAGGTGCAGCAAAAGAATTTCTCTAGTCGAACCCCATGATTCTAGTTCTTGATTTAATAATTGTTCAAAAACTGACTTCTCTAAAAAACCTTAAAACCACCCTGCTTAAGCAAGCCGAGCGTGCTTTAAATTTTTAAAAGGATTGATGTATTCCACTTTGCAGTTACTTAATCTAATTCACAATATGTCGCTGGCAGCGTTCGCAAACGTCGTCTTACAAATCTGTTCAGGAACCAGTGGTAGTCGTTGCACGTCGTAGGGTGTTCAGGACAAAGTAAAATGGCGTATTCGCCGATGGGCCAGCTTCGGCTTGCAATTGAAGCATGAATTTTCAACGGTCCCACGAGCGTCGAGTAATGAACTGAAAGGCGCACGCAATGGTATCTATACTAAATTTCTATATCATTTACTTCATATGCTAAACAAGTTTAAAAATATTAAAATACTTATTTAAAGAATACGAAGAACATGCTATTAACGAAAATAATAAATTAGTAAAATAGTAAGCTAAATAAATGAACGATTAAACGAAGACACAAAACTCACTTCATTATGTTTTTCTTTGCCTTCATTTAAACTTTATTCCTTCATTTAACCGAAAAAATCACCAAATTTAACATCACTTTAAAACTTGACACCTATTTTAGTTGCAAGTAAAACGACCCAGATTCACTGTTGCATATGTTTTTAAAGCTGTTGCTTAATGCCACGATAGCCGTACCGCCCTCTAGCGGCAAAGGCCGTTAACTAAAACTATTAAAGTTTTGCTTTAAAAAATAATTGTTACTATGTATTAGCATAAGCTTGTTCTTCTACTACTATGATCTTTTGTGCAGCTATATAAATTGCAGAAGTTCTTGAAAAGGAAATTATGTTGTAGGAATAGTTCTACATACAATTAATTTTTAAAAACTTTCTCACAGATGTTAATTATTGTAAATAACATTCTATACCTTTTACACGGCTCTCTGGTCCTAACTAGTCAGTGATCTTACTATGGTAACTAGACTGCTAATAATACAATTTACATTAATGTTCTCAAACACATGCATACACATACGAATGATAGTTCTTATCCGACAATTGTTTCTGCTTGAGTGGGAATTTAACCAATGACAGAGTTCAGAAGTCTGGATCACTAACGACTAAAAATACAAGTCACAGAACGAATGACCGTGCTCATCACACAATTATTTTTCCTGGGTAGGAATCTAACCACTAGACCAACAGGCCAGTCAATGAAAGACGAAATTAAGTTACGTAAACTATTTACTTTTCCACTTGTTCTATTTGAACATTATTAGTTTTAATATGAGTAGTTAAAGTTGAGTAATTAGAATTTAAGTTTTGTTTAAGTTTATATTTAATCCAAAATCTTTAAAAGTTTCATTCATTGCTGTTGGTAATTGTTCTAAATTGTTTCTGCTGTCGGCTATTGCTGCGATATCATCTGCAAATCTGACAAAGAAAGTAGAAAACTTTAAATATTTAGGTAGCCGAATTACGTAAGATTCTAGATGTTCCCCAGACATGATAGAAAGACTCGCCATCACCAAACAAGCCTTCAATCGCAAGAAACACCTGTTCAAGGCCAAGATTAACACTGAAATAAGAAAACGGCTCATCAAGACATATATATGGAGTATTGCACTTTATGGCTGCGAAACGTGGACCATGATCCAAAGAGACAGAGACAGGTTAGCAGCATTTGAAATGTGTTGCTTGAGACGAATGATGAACATCAGTTGGATGGACAAAAGAACCAATGTGGAGGTCCTGCTAATGGTGAGTGAAGAGAGGCAATTGTTGAATGCCATTGAAAACAGAAGAGGCAAAATGGTTGGACCACTTGATAGGCCACGAGAACTTCTTCAGAATAATACTGGAAGTAAAAATAGAAGGCAAGAGAAAACGAGGACAGCCTAGATAACAATACATACAGTAAGTGAAGGAGAAAGTAGGAGTCGTGGCCTATCAAGAGGTCAAACTGATCGCAGGAAATAGACAAGGGTGGCGATTACTCCACCGACAAGGACTTAGCTCTTAAATTGAAAGAGAGAGAAACTACTTTTCATAAATTAACTATTATGTAAACTATTGTAGTAAATCATTTAAGACTATTGCTTGTTTTTTTGTTTCACACTTTGTGTTGAAAACAAATTACAGTCTGACGACATCAAGTACATTACAATTTTAGTCCTAGTTTAGAACGCACGTTTTCAGATCATCTTTAATACAGAAAAAAATACAGTTCTTGATACATCGACCATATTTACATAAACGCGAGCAAAATTGCCATTAAAAGCCAGTAAACATACTTTTCAATTAGCAATTAGTGTTTTACACACAAACTATGCTAGAAACGAGGGACGATCAGATGGTACCACTTACATTAATGTGAAGTCGTTTCTAAAAGTAGTAAACGAAGATATAAACGTTCTAAAACTTCACACTCAACGGAATTCTTAAATAGTCTAAGAGTTAAAAATTATGTACCTACTTTTAAATTAATACTGAACTATATTTTAATTCTGTTTAATAATATTTTAATTGTGTGCTGCAAATCGTCATTAAAATAAAAAAAAATCTTTTCTTCATTTTCACCGATTACCTAAAATTAATTACATACTTTTGAATTGCAATAATCGTGATTGTCCTATAATGCTTATATACTAGCTGACCCACGCACTTCGCCTGTATCTCTTTAAAGGAATTAGTAATCCCAATTTTTGCAACAATTATCCTTGATGATAGTCCCCTATTAGTCGTGATGTTATATAGCCCATAGCCTTCCTCGATAAATGGGCTATCCAGCATAAAAAAAAGCAATTGGAAGCAGTAGTTCCTAACGTAGTAACGTAACCAAACAAATAAACAAACTCTTCTGCTTTATTAAGTATCGATTTAGTGATTTATTGCATATTTTAGATTTTAGATTTGACATCTAAAATTTAATGATCCATAAGTAACGAGAATTTTTTATTAAGGGAGAATTAAGAAGTATGGTGGTTTCATCGTATTCTTTGTATATTTATATGTTTATTGTATGTGCATAGCAAGTGTGCAAACGTGTACTCTGATGTATACTTAATTGACTAGGCTAGTTTAGAACTGGATTATAATAATTTTGGATGCTACTCTTAATATAGAGTTGATTAGCGAATCTAGTAGAATACAATTTCTATTATTGTTAATGTGCAATATTAAGTGCAATATTCATATAACAGTATTCGTATTCATATAACAGTAAGTTATTTATCCATATTAATATAGTAAAACTGAAGAGTTGAAGTGTTAAATCTTTAAGATATCAGTCAGATTTGACTAAATATTTTTTTATTTGGTAGAGTATTCACGAGTAAGAGTATATGATATGTGTCATCCCCATCAGGAGCGAAATAATGAATATAAAAACAGGTTGTCGGCGCCTTCTAGCAGTAAAGTACGACTTGTAAAACTATCTGAAAAGATTAATTTGCATAAATAAATATCATTGCATTTCAGGTTAAACTACGGGAACGGTCATTTATCGGTAAAAATGAATCTAGAATGATCTACCTGTTCCTACACTGGTCCTGCTGTACAACACTGTATCTACTCTAAGCCAAGAATTATTTGAAATTGTTATGTTCTTAATACAAATTCATACATGTATTATACGCGCCGTACACTCCTCTCTGACATTCATATTCCATGATCCCAAAATGAGGTCATTAACTGGAACTAAAATAAAGTTATACGAGCTTCCAGGGGCGTCTTTCTCGTACAAGCCTAGCGCGAATTTCCACTCGATTGGCTTTTTAATTTGCCGGTATTCGGTAGAGAGACGTTTAGCGGAATAAGGCCTCGTTTCATACGCGACCGGCTCGTTCTAAATTCAATTATTCGCCGCAAGATGGCGGCAGGTAACATTGATATTGAGCGCGCGCTCTCATTGTTCTTTATTTAAAATCATATACTCAAACCTGGTTATTAAGCTTCTGCTAAGGGTTATTTTGGGCATTGGAGAGTTTTAATCAATTTTGTTTAAATTGGAAGTGAAATTGTTTTAACATACTACGAGTATAATATGGTGCTTTATGTTTTGAGCGCAGTATGTACTACGTAACCTCATTACTACGTAGAAGTGTAGCACTTCTACGCCGTAGCAACGTATGGTGTGAGATTATACTTCAGCCTATTACCGTCCACTGCTGAACGAAGGCCTCCCCCAAAGAGCGCCAACCATCCCGGTCTTGGGCAGTCTGCATCGGTGTGTCATTACTGATTACTAATATTGTATTTATCATTAGGTATTATGTAAATTTAACGTTTTTTACTTCTCAGATTAATGATTTACATATTTAGTTTAAAAATTATATGTCTCTGAATATACTAATTTAATAAAGCTAAAAAGATATCTGTTTGTTAAATGCGCTAATCACTGTTACTATCGGTCAGCTCTGATTCATTATTTTTGTATTGTATAGAGTTTTTATTGCGGAATAATAATAGGCTATAAATATTGTACATAAACGCGAGATTTTAAAAATTATAATGTGACCATTAATGCAAAATATTAAAAGTAAACTGAAACTTACCTCATCTTTCCCCTTGACTACGCACATTTTGACGTCATTTTCTGGTGAGTACCAGACCAGACGCCTTTGCTCCATCAGGTCTGTCAAGCTGAGATTGTACACTACATTTCTGAAACAATAAAAACATGACTTAGCAATTGTAGAAAGTAATAACGTGTTAGATTATAATCATAATAAGTAAAAGTAATATAAAATCCAATTGTAATCTTTTTTGTAACACTACTGTTATTGTGACCAATTACACTTGCCACTTCTAGCAAGTCCGCCAACATTCATTACCAAATAAAGTTGACCTCCAACCACATGCTCTAGACCACATATTAGTTAGAACATGTGTAAAGTTTGCAGTTCATTTTAAGGTGGATACTCGGCTCGTAGTTGTTAGCTGAATGTTTGTTCGTGGTTTTAATCGCACTTGGAGTTGAGGATTTCAGGTGAAGTTAGTTGGAATGGTTCCTATTGCCGCGACGTTTATTTTGCGGGTAGTAGCTGTGGCAACACTTTGTCTCGGCCTACTGCCGCTTAACCTGCTATTCAGAATAGCTTTGTAAACAGATATAAACCTAGTTCTCTACATTTACCAATATATAGCTACACACCAACCAACATTTTCGTGTTATGTCTTTAAAAAAAGGTGGGTGAAATTTTAAGCAGTAATCAAATTAAAATGTTTGACGTTACACTATGTTAATAGAGTACTGTTTTATATACAAGTATGTCATCAAATAGTACACGACCTTAATATCAACTGAATGTGGACTATTGCTGTCAAATGTGACGTCACTAACGTGTCAATAACCTTAAAATCCTATACAATAATCAGTAATAGAACTAAATGGTTGGAAAACATCGCTGGTTATTCTTCTAAAAGACAAATGAACCACATTTTTCTTAATAATCTATCTAAAATAAATAAGTTATAATTTACTAGCTATACACAAACCAACTTAACATGCATATATACCTAGATTTATAATTAATATTAATAATATTTTTGAAGTTTCAAATTAAGCAGAGCTTGTACTATGAAAGCTAGATTGAGGGATAGAATATTTATAAACTTTTTGGTATAGACATACATATTGTACATAGAAAACACCCGAACTCTGAAAAAAATATTTGTAGATTATACAAACATGTTTTCCTACCCGGGAATCGAACCCGAGACCTCACAGTAGTCGTATACGCTACCACTGCACCGAATGATTAATGTTAAATGTATAGTTTTTTTACCAAGCTATTAAAGAAAGTAGAATGATTTGGCACCTTTGAATGTACGACGATTATAGGTTACGTGCACATCTTATACTGTCTTCAAAGTAATGGTGTTTAATTCTTCTTAAATGACTGCTTATTTAACAAAATAAGAGTATTTATTCTCTATTTTAGCACACGACAGAAATAGTTATAGACAGTTTGTGTTGCTTTTGTACGCGATATCGTAAATAGGCTAGATGTCAATGTTGTTGGCAGGGCAAAGTTCACTATGACAGATTTCTTGTAAGCTTACAAAGCCGAAAACACAATGTGGGGTGACGCAACACAATACAATACCGATCGAATAGCGAGTGAGTTTGACTTAAGGAGAAATAGAAAAATCCAATATCTACACTTATGAAATAGCAAGCGTTCTGAAGCTGATTCGATTACAATTATGTTTTTGATTTGAACTTAAATGAAAACTATATAGGTATTAATTAAGTTCTAGTATTACATGCTTATACCTATAACTGATATAAATCGAATAATTATAATTATCAATATCGTAGAACACATCAAACACGGCTATCTGATCCAAACTAAGCAGAACCTGTACTATTGTACCCAGACCTGTTATAAATATGTAGGGATACACCACCAAATATCATGTAATCTATCTATACAGTATGAATCAATTGCATCTGTCACTACCCCTATTCAACCCGCGGGTTCCGTAAGAGCCGACTAAAGGTGCAAACTACCCAGGACAACAGCACTGCAAAGAGAAGGAAACTTGACACAAATCGTATACCAACCCGTCTGGCCAGCGTGGTGTTAAAGGCCAAAACCTCTTTTCTAAGCAGAGGCAAATGTCCAGCGGCTGACTATTAAAGGCTGTTGATGTCATGATACATTAAGACATAGAAAAAACGATCTTGCTAATCATACAAACGTTTGTTCAAGGTGGGAATCGAAACCATGATCTCTGGCTTAGCACTCAGGATCACTAGACTAACCTGCCTGGCCTGGCCTGTTAAAGGCCTGCCTATAATGCCAAGGCCTGTCAATTTAAACATCTCCTCGGTTAACTCCTTTTACCATAAAGGATCTAATTATAGTTTGAGACTTCTCATCGGTATAATAAAATTTTCGAATGCATTTATTAATACGGATTCTATTTCTTGAGTGTATATGAAGTGTACATGTACAATGTATTGCACGCGTGGCGGTGACGAGCAATTAACTAGACGTAGGCTAATAAGCTGCATTGCGTTAATTCTCTAAATCTAACTAATTTTACTCAAAATTACAGGAGTCGCATACGCTACCACTGCACTACCGAGGCAGTGGCAGTTTTGTTAGTGATTTAAATATCAAAGCAAAAGTTCTTTAATCAAGAATATCAGTAGCAATACTCTGAATATCATTAGACATGCATTCAGAAGCTGCCTTGTGGGCGGGACAGCTAATCATATAGAAGACACAGTACACAACTTTCAATCTACCATTCCTATAAGTAATCAAAAGTCTTTAATTTAGCTATGGAAGCTTCACTTACTTCTCTGTATTTTTTATTTTAAATAAAAAGAAGTACTTTATTCAATGCGTGCGCGATGCGTGATCAAAAGCAGTTTAACGGTTACGGCATCGCATCTTACCGAAGTTTTGAAAACTAATGTCAAACTAACATTACAAGTGTACACAATTTAGTATGAACTGTGTACACAAGTTGTGGCAATTCATTAAACTTGCTTGAGCATACCTGCGTTCTGTCTGGCATAATTGCGAAAGTCCCTCAACCCTTAATTAAGATATTTGGCACGAAAATTTCATAAAGAAATTATGACATAAACTTTGCCAATTATTGCTCAGCGAATAGCCGGTGTGACTTACATAATGTTTTTGAGATTTAACAGACAAAGTAACCGGGATTGTGAGTCTAACTTTATTGATATTAGAATACACTTTTTAAACGACTATTCCATGAAGTTTTTATGTTTGTTCTTTGTTTTAGAACGTAATGTTAGAGCCGACTCCTGACTTTGCTATCAAAAATTACATGATCTTTGAAATTAAATTGTAAGAATAGTTTAATAGAAAATGGATTTTAAATTCTAGACAAGAGTCGAATGCTTTTATGCTGCACGGATGGCGTAGTGGTTTAAGCGGTCGCAACGTCGCTTCCTGCTACGCTTAGTGTTGTGGGTTCGATCCCCACATGGGATACTTTTGTTGGATAAATATGTATATATGTATGTTTGTAAAGTCTCCCGTGACACAGGATATATTCCTAGTGCGGGAGTTGTTTTTTTTTAAGAAAAGAATTTAAACTTCATTTCATTACTCTATAAAAAAAAAAAGAGTACCGGGTCATTTGTGATGGTACCTATAGAAACTAAGAAGAACATAATAACGTGCATTAGAATGTGATGTTTAAAACAAGATTACGTTTTTATTAAATACCATTATGTTATTATCGTAGTATATTCAAAAGCCGACCCCAACCTAGATTGGGAAAAGGTTCGAAGGATGATGTTATTAGAACGAATTTACTGTTTTGTTTGTCATTGTTTGAGTAGAAACATTACACAATTTTAATGAGAGAATATTTCCGATGTTATGTTATTTTAATTTCACTTTGTAGTGTTTTGTTGTCAAGTATTATGAATAACAAAACGCACGAGCCTTTGGGCTATACAAAGGTCTAACACAACATCAGAAATGGTTCAAAATGAAATTTTTCACTTCCATTATGTTGTAAATAAGGTATTCACATTCGACGTCTTGCATTCGAATAATGTTCTTTGTACTCTATCACCGAGGGTCCTGCGGTACTTATTCCTAAATAAGGGAAATGTCTGTAATTCACCAATGTTAGGGGAGCCAATTTGTTGCCAGGCCCCACCCAAATTTTATGTGCGAACCGTTTTTTTGTTGGTTAACGAAGTGGCATGATGCGATCACATAATGCATGTATAACTAAAACTAATAGATAATCAGGTTAATACAAAATGTATAAGAATAACAAGATTATCAGCAACTGGATTACTTAAAAGAAGTGTATTCATTGACTTATTTATACGTTGAAACAGGGTTGTATGTAAGCTTGACTAGTATTTCGAAATTGGAATATTGACATACCATGGGATTCAAAAATATTTTATTCGATCTGTATTCAAGCCTGAAGCCTCGTATGGGCTGGCTCTTAAAAATAACCGTTAGCCATAAAAAACTAGTGTTAATAAAACAGACTTCACTTATTCTGTAAACGACTGCTAGATCTGGTGTTCCTGTATATGTATTTGTCTAAAACATATAGCTTTTTGCATTGCGGTTGACGTGAAAAATATTTACAAGTTTTGTAATATTTGTAAGTAATATTTTGGCCGATAGGCACGCTGGCCGAAGCTTACAAAGACTGTATCCTTTGTCAATTATTCGCTTCAGTGGTTCCTGCCAAAAGGCGGCGGCCATCTTAGACTGTGTGCGACGGATCGTCAGCGTCATCTATTGTTCGGTCACTCGCCCATGTTTTTGTGTTCTGTCCAATCCCGTTCCGCACGCTGATTGATGGTCTGAACTTACAATTATTTTCGTGTCTTCGTGATTATTTATTTTTTGTCTACCATCCTTGGCAAAATAAATTAATCCGCAAGAATTTTCTTTATCCGGATAAAAGTAAATATCTGGGTAGGCGCTAGTATAAATTGATTTCGTGAACAAAGCAGGCCTACCAATCAGAACCATGCTCATCAATATACATGATGGACACATGGGCCAATGATCGAATCCAAATGAAAACATTAAACATGATGGCGCTTTTAAAGCGAGATTTACATATTAAACGATATTATTGTATTAATTCGAATAATTGTTTTTAATAGACATCATATGATGGCTATCATCAGC